TTTTGTCTCCTCTAATCTTCAATCTGTACTATGAAAGAATATTTAACGAAGCTTTACACGAAACTAAAAAAGGTATTGTACTAAATGGTTACCGGCTAAACAACATCAGATATGCAGATGACACTATAGTATTTGCGGACAACTTAAAAGACCTACAAGTTACTTATGAACAAAATCACGTATTACAGTCAACAATATGGACTCAATATAAACGTTAAGAAGACAAAGCTTATGATAATTAGCAATAAAAGGATAAAAGAAGGTCAATCCTACATCAACCAAGATTGCTATGATGATCGCCAACATTCGTAACGAAAGAAAAATATGTTATCATCCGGCCGTACTAGACCTGAGCCCTTCAGATACTTAGATCTTCTAAGACGGGTTCATTGTATCACCCCTATCATACGGAATAGGTTCATAAGGACCTAGTCTTCGCCGTTTCTGAGGCGCAGGCTGTTCCGAGCTCCCATATCTGCAGTCAAGTCTGAACCCCTCCTGACGTTCTGATCATCTAATCCTTTAGTAACAGCAAACATACTTTGTGCAAAACATGTCGAAGAAGAAACACAGAATGTACAATACAATTATTATTTACCATAATGCAGTGTGTATGTGTAAGTATATTTGAAAATAAATAAATATGTCCTGGTAACATTCATTGTTTTCTATGGATCTCGCTTTTCATTCTCAATTATATTACGAGAGCGGAGTGGTCGGTAAATTGAGAGTAATTTTACTTCATTGAACTGTTTGTATCTTTTTGATTAACAGTTTATAAACACCTTAAACACTACCTAATTGAATTATGGTGCAATTTAGATTTATTATATACAGCATTCTATAGGAGATATCTTTTGAAAGAATACATTAATATTACTTATTCGATTGCTTAATAACTTAATCAAAATCGTCTGAACTTGTATGAAGTAGGTATTTATCAAACTGGAAAGTATTATCTAGCTTGATGGTTTTAGGTAAATATTAGATATTATTGAGTTTTGAATTATGTAACCAGGTTTCTTCAGATAAGTGATTTATCTGTACCATCTTATAAAGACATGATTATTATTTAATAATTGAAAATAAAATAAATATAAGTAATTGATCAATATTTTTATTTCGTCAAAAAGCACAATATTTAATTATGTTTAATACCCATATTTAGTTAAATAGTGTTCAGTAACCTATATGCAATATGATCTATTTAGCTTTGGAATTGTTGTAGCAGATCATCTATAAAGCTAAACCAATAATCATTAAATCAAATCATTAAAATTAGATAGGTGCTTATTCAAATACTGAACAATCCACAGCAAAAATAATGGTATTTATCAGTAGTATCAGGTCTCCTAGATATGAATATTTGCTTTAGTGTACTTATTTAGACCTCCTTTACTTAAGTTTTTGAATTACTGTCTCATATAATAGCTTTTAGAGTAAGTTGAGATTTTAATTCTTTCTTTTTATATTCTATCAATACCTATTATAATGTTGTTAATTCAAGAAGTTCAGTTTTTATGGTCTGTTCCTAAAATTTTCATATTAACATAATATGGGAAATATTGTTTGTGAAAGTTAACGTTTGGAATAGAAAATATAGGCCATAGCATATTTGTGTGCTATGATGTAGGCAATGCATTAAAGATGTCATAAATAATAAAATGATTGTACAAATCCAAAAACTATTCTATAATTTAATAGTTGTCTGTATTTTCACACGATTCCGTAACATTCATCTTTACTAACATATTTCAACGAAATTAAAATAAGTACATACTTGAATCATTTCTAAATTTTATCATAGGACACAAATTTTATATTGTATAATTTAATTCATGGTTATTGGATTATGTAATTAAACGTAACTGTAAACTTAGTCATAATATTCATTGACATATGGCAGTGTCCAGAGTCACCAACCATTGTTGCCATGCTTCTAGGAGTAAACCGACAACATTTTGAAAAAATCAGTAGTTTCACGGCGCTTGTGGGAGAATTTAAATAATTTTTTCATGTTCCTACGATTTTTTCTAAATTCTTATTTTAGAGGTCAAACGAAGTTGTTGCAAAAAAGACAATCATATAGGTGGCGATTAAAAAAAAACAATAAAAATAGAAATTAAAGAGAAATGAGTGGGTTTATGTAGTTTAATAGTATTTAATGATATTAATAATTTCCTAATAAAAGTAGTACAACAGCGTTGTTACATGTAACAATAATTATTTTATGACAATTTGAAATGAAATTAATCTTGAGTGAATACATTGGTATAATACATATTATATACATAATATTATAATATATACAGTAAATAAAAAATAATATGCCATTCATAAATATAAAGTCATATACACATGTACTTTTCAAAGGGTTTTTTAAAATAATCTCCATGATTCTTTGATATTTTGTAATTATTCCATGTCTTTTTAAAGTCGCAATGAACAGCTTCCATTGCCTGCTTCCAGACATACCCAAGACATTGCCCATAGTACCTACTCACAAAATTCGACTATGTTCCCAAAAATAATATGAATTTTTGAAGTTACACAGATTTCTAGAGCCAAATAACTTAGTTTAAAGGTTTTAATGTATTCTTTGAATTTTGGATCTAACTTAATTGAAAAGCAAGCTTCAACAAAGTTTTTAAGTTTTCTAAATACATAAAAAAAACTGTAGATCTCTAAACACTTGAATAAATCCAAGATATCTATGGAATTTAATATTTGTTTGCAGCTATCTCCTACAGACGTAGAACGTCTTCCTTGTTTACATTTACTTGATACATTACATTTTTTTGTCCATTCTGAAATAAAATGTTGTGTAAATTTTTTATAGAATATTGTATTAACTGTTTTTAATAAAATATGGTATTTACTACAATCGGAAAAATGAAAGATTAGACACGAACGATCACATCAATCACTTATTTTGTATTTGCTGTCTTTTTCTATAACAAATGTTTGTTATTTATACAAAAAAGAAGGCAAATTATACAAAATAAGTGATTGATATGATCGTCCATGTCTAATCTTTCATTTTTTGGACTGTACATATAGTTTTTGAAGTTTTTCGCCGGCTTTTATAAAAATTTTCAGATTTTAACCATTTTTTATAATTATTTTTACATTCGATTGATATTCTTGAAGCTCAACCTACATTCCAGATGTTTGACTTTGGCAATGTGGAAGTGGCAATGTGTTGGAAGGGCAATGTGGAGTTCGAATCGGGGGAGAAACTATTAACAACATCAGATATGCAGATGACACCGCGATCATGGCTGATAGTATCGAAGATCTTTAATTCCTTATAGATCGAGTCACTAGAGAATGCTCTAATAACGGACTAAGCATAAATACAACAAAGACAAAGTTACTTGTGGTTAGTAAACAAGACCTCGGCGATATACAACTAATTGTCAATAATGAACCGATAACAAAAGTTAACCATTTTAAATACCTAGGATGTTGGATAAACGAAACATTAAATCCGGATGAAGAAATTAAAACTCGTATAGAAATTGGAAGAGGAGCATTTATGAAACTTCGATCTATTCTGAGCAATTCTCAGCTGAACTTACAGTTGAGAATTAAGTTCCTAAAATGTTATGTGTACCCTGTATTACTGTACGGATGTGAAACCTGGATTATGAAGGTAACATGATGAACAAATTAGAAGCCTTCGATATGTGGTTATATCGTAGAATGCTCAGAATATCATGGGTTCGACACATTTCAAACAGAAAAGTCTAGAACAGAGTAGGTCAAGTTGAAGGTGACCTAATAAAGATGATAAAAAAGAGAAAACACGAAATCTGGGGCATATAATGAGAGGAAGCAGGTACAGGATAATGCAATTGATACTCAACGGAAAGATCGACATAAAAAGAGGAATTGGTAGGAAGAAATACTCATGGCTCCGACACATTCGTCAATGGACTGGCTTATATCGGCAAATCGTCATGGAAGCTATCCACGCCTACAACTTGAGCACGGTACTCAAAGAAGAAGAAGATGTCACAAATCACAACCATTGGTTTAATATATAATAAATCAGTGCAAATGCTTGCCTATGCTGATGATATCAATATTGTTGCTATCGCAATAATCAGGTACAAAAATGGGTTTAATAATAAACAGCAACAAAACGAAGTACATGAAAATAAGCACGCGACCACAAATCCTACGACCACTTGTTATAGAAAACGACGTCATCGAAGCAGTGAATGAATCTGTATACCTGGAAGCGTTACTTAACACTGAAAATAATACTACCGCAGTATATAATATATACCGCAAATAATCTCCTCCTTAAATTCACAACTATATCGATAAATACAACAATAAAACTCTACAAAACAATAATACGTCCAGTTCTACTAATATATGGTTCAGGGACCTGGACTAACAAAAAGTAATGAAAATTAGTTAGAATGTTTAAAAAAAAGTACTAAGGCGAATATATGGAGAAGTGAAAGACAATGGTATACCAGGAAAATATTAAGATAGGACGTCTGAGGTGGATGGGGCATGTAATGCGGATGGAACAAAATGACCCAACTAGAAAAACGCTCTTTGATAGCCCCATTGGTCAGGGAAGAAGAGGAAGAATACGTGCTTGGCGGAGGAAGCATGGGGAATTGTTCAACCAAATCGATTTATTAAAAATATTTATCTGAAATAAAAAATCCGTATAGGTATAATAAGTAACTAATTTAATCTGATCTTAATAACTTTTAAATATTTTTGATCTGTCAGCCTTATCTGTAATTTTAATATATAATTTGAGAGAATGGAGATAGACCAAAATAGGTATGGGTTAACTTTAGTTTAAAATTTGTTGATATAATGACAAATAGATAAGTGCGGCAACCGTGTTAGCAACCAAGCTACTACGCTAGTAATTTTAAGTCTACAATCTAACCATAATCTAACCTATAAATTTACAATGTCAATGTAGCATTGTTTACATTTTTATTGAACATTTTCATTTTTTATAGATCTTGAAGTGGAATATGGCTACGATAGACGGCCGTCCCGCACAATATGGAATTACCCTGAAACAACTACGTGACCTTATGGAACATAGGGGCGCAGACGGAATAGGAAAAATTCAAGAATTAGGTGGAACACAAGAAATATGTAAAAAATTATACACATCGCCAAGCGAAGGTAAGTCACACTTCCTCTACTTGAAAATACTTTTAGTACTCCTTTGATTCATTAAAACATTAGAAACTATTTCAATTATTGTTTTTGATTATATCGGGTAATTTTACAAATGTTTGTTTTTTAAGTCTATTGTTGCAAAAAGTATCCAATAATCCTAAATTGTTAATACACAAATTTTGTACATCTAATCTGAAAAATCGTTTTAAAAAAGTTGCATATTCCTGCCCCCAATTATTTGGTGCACACAAGTAGTATCTCCACATCTTACATTATTACATCAAGCTTAACCTTCCATTATTCACGCCGAGTTTCTTTGAATAATGATCGAACAATGTGCTGAAGATCAGTCGGAAAATATGAGTCATTATTATTTTGTTTGGTAAAATTTTGTATAATTATATTATTTATTTAATATGTGATAATATATTGTTTAGATATTCATGGACATCAACATTAGATTATAGAATGGCTTGGCATCAGAACTAGCAAAAATTGTTATGCCATATTTATTAGTCTTGCTAGAAATTTATTGTCTAACTATATTTTACTTGAAAAGCCTAAATTTTTTATCGCTCTTGATGTAAGCAGAATGGGAATAATATTGTTTAGCATTACTGTTAAATCTATCTAGTATTAGTTATACTGGAGCTAGTTTATCTACTTTGATGCTTTTGTGTCTTATTTAACTAGTATTGAATGCAAAAGAAACACAAAACTATCCTTATTCATTACAAGCTGAAAAGTTTCATTATCAGTGTCGTATGTTCTCCAGAAATCTCGTAAATTCATCTGGTTTGTTTATCTAATACCATCAAAATAAAAGAGACTTTAAAGGATATTGATTTAATCAATTTGGTAGCCTGTGATGTATGTCTCTTTGCTATATTCATTTGAAATACTCTCAATACATTCTACAACTAAAATTAGCATTGATGATTAAAGTGTTGATAGGTGATTGACTGATTCTGTTAAGTGCACTTATGGTCTGAGGACACTCAGTTCATTCCATGTGTATGTTTGAACTACAAAATAATGATATTGTAGAAGTCAAATATCGAAAAGTGCTGTGTCCCAATCGGAGGTTGGATATCATCATCACTGTTTTTACTCTATCTACTGCTGCTCTGAAGAGTTCTATAGAACTGCATTTAAACCAGTCTCTTAAATTCTTCAACCATGACACTTTCCTTCTTCCTATACTCGTTCCTTATCTTATCTTTCCCTATATTATCAGCCTTACCAGTTCATATCGCTGTCGACTCATTATGTGTCCCCCAGATATGGTAACTTTCTTATTTTTATTGTGTTTATTATTTCATGTTCTTTGCCCATTTCTCGCAATACTTCTGTTAGTTTTCTTCTGTGTCCATGCTATTCTAAGCATCCTCCTGTAACGCCACATTTTAAAGGACTGTAACTTATTTATGTGTTCTTGCTTAATTGTCCAGCTTTCAAGTCCATATTGCAGTATCGAAAACATGTAGTATCTCTGGCTCTTATTTCGGTTGTTTGATAATTATTGTCTAAAATCCAGGTTCCTAGATATTTGTATTTATCAACCCTTTCTATCGGTACATTTCCCAAATGTATGTTTGTTGGTGTATTTGTTTTCTTTGTTATTATCATGTATTTGGTCTTTTTTATATTCATTTTTACCTCATATTTTTCACAGAAATTGTTTGTTTTGTTTAGCAGTAAGTGGAGTTGTTCAGCAGAGCTTGCAATAATCACAGTGTCATCTGCATATCTTATGTTGTTAATAGATCTTCCGTTAATTATTATTCCTTCACTTTAGATAGATAGTAATGTTTCTTCAAAAATGGCTTCACTATATACATTAAATAATAATGGGGACATAATACATCCCTGCGTAACTCCTCTCCTGATTTCAATTTCTGGACTGGGTTTATTATCTATTACAATTTGTACTCTTTGATTCCAGTAGAGGTTTGTTATTATTCGTAAGTCCCTATGGTCTATGTTTTTTGGCTTTAGAATTTGGACTAATTTTTTATGTCTTACTTTGTCAAATGTTTTTTCAAAATCAACGTAACAAACATGTACATCAACATTCATACCCATGCATCTTGGAGCTAACACATTAAAAGCAAATAATGCTTCTCTGGTTCCTAGTCTGTTTTTGAACCCAAACTGACTATCATCTATTCCTTCTTCAAATTTTTTATTTATATGACCATGTATTATTTTTAAGAATAATTTGAGGATGTGATTTATTAGTGATATTGTTCTGTATTTACCGCAATATTTAGTTTTGTATTTTTAGGGATAGCACAAAAGGTGGAGAGTAACCATTGTCTCGGTATGTGTCCTGATTTGTATACTGAATGAAATAAGTCTACTGTAATGTCGAAGGTTTCATCATTTATGCATTTTAAGATTTCTACAGGGATTTGGTCTGGACCTACTGCTTTACCATTTTTGCTGTTTTTAATGCCATTTTAATTTCCTCTTTTAATATTATTAAAACCATATCCTCTTCTACTTTTATCTCCATCTGCTCTGTTCTATTGTCATTGAACTGTTCATTGATGTATTCTGTTCATCTCTTTAATTTGTCGTTAGTATTCAACACAACTTTCCCATATGCACCTTTCAGTATTCCCGGTTTTCTTGTTCTATTGTTGTGAGTTAATTCTTTAATTTTTTTTATGTGTGTCAAAACTATCATGTCTTTTCTAGTATTCTTCTATTTCTGCGCATTGTTCTTTTAACCATTGTTCTTTTGCTTTCTTAATTCTGTATTTTATTTGTGTATCCACTCTTTTGTACATCTGATTATCTTTGTTTTTATATTGACGTCTTTCTTCTATTAAATCTAAAATTTCTTCCGTAATCCATTGCTTTTCTTTATATTTGGTTGGTATTAGAATTTCTTTTTGACTTTTATCTATTTCTGTCTTTATTAATAACCATCCCTCACAATACATATTAGAAAATATTATAAGATTACAAATAATTATTTGAGAATCGAAGACACTCACTCAACATTAACACAAGACAGAGAAACAATGTTAGAATTTAGTTTCTACAGTTGAAGAACTCATGGAATCCTACTTGTCATTGTAAACCAATATTCTTTAATAAACTGCCTCAAAAAATAAAATTATTGCCAATTACATATTTTAATGTTTGTAAAGTTAGCATTATCCATTTTATAAGGCTGAATTTAGATCAATGCTATCATTTGTTGCTAATTTATTACTGAAAGAAAAAAATTATTGCTGTAGCTGTTTCTGAGACACAATGGTTATGCTAACTTTACAGTAAATCTAGCATACTTGTAGCTATATTTAGGCAATAGAAAGGGCTACTGCTATAAGATTTGTATAGAAATCATGGTAACTTAAGGGTATTAAGTGAAGATAACTTTGTATATCTTTAAGTTTTGCTTCCGAAACTGGGTTTCTCTTTGGCAGAATAGTTCCAAATATGTGGCAAACTGTGAACCAGTTAAAGGTCCTCTTCATATTCCCGTTTTTATGCTTACCGTGTCTTGATAAGTCGTTTTAAAAAATATGCTATAAGGCTTATCTTTAAACAATTTAATTTCTTTGGTTTGTAACCAACTTATTGTCTCGTTGGTGATTTGTTTTTCTAATTTTGCTGTACTCAAAAAATCTTCATGTGTTTTAATATTTACATTAATGGGTCGTTTTTGTCTACAAGTTTTCATTACATTGCTATATTCCCCAGGTGAAAATATATTGTTGCCTTTTAAGTGCACATTCCACATCTCCAAAATCACTATCCTTTGGAAGAAACAGATGATCTGGAACTAAAAATCCCAACCTGATAGTCTTTAAATGCTGTGATTCATCTAGGAGACATTTTAACATAAGTACTATTTTAATGTTCCTGTTTTGACCCCCGCAAGAGTCGCTACACAGAATAATGTGCTAAACTTTATCGCTAACATTACTGAAAATATATTTTCTTAGACAAGACCCCACTTCTAAAGACAAGACCCCACACTAAATATGACTCCTCATCTTCGTTAACATCCCCAAGCAACCTCGGTAGAGGCCGCTGTTTATTTCAATCTATATCTAAAAAAAACTTGTTTGTATTTTTCAGTTGAGACAAAATTTCTTTTCTCACGAAAGTTTCTTTCGACCAATCCATCTCTTTCCGTCCATTTTCCTTTTATTATAAGACGGAGTAGATGGTATGTAGGTCCTCTAATTATATGATTGAAGTATTTAGTTTCTCTCATCTTTATTAACTTTATGTTGTTTACCCCCAATATAATTATAACGCAGTTTATTCATAGACAAATTAGGACAAGCACGTCCAGAACATACACTATCAATTCTCATTCTATACAGGTGCATAAATGCCTAAAATGTATGCAATAAACGTTACCATCGGAACACTTAGTATAATCCTAAATCACTTTTACGTGCTTTATATGCCTGCTGCTACCGGTAGATGGATGTATAGCCCAGTCTGGTTAAAAAAGGTCGAAAAATGTTTCGCAGATATCTGAAGCTTTTAAGACATAGGTGGGGGTACTAGATGACGAATAGATGAAAAAGTACTCGTATACCTTTTGTTTTTTTTTTAAACAATAATTTATGGTCACAATTTGATTTTTTGTCTATAAGTTTTTCCTTTATATTTTAAATAAACAATATTTATATCATATTTTTACATCAAGAATATCTTTATTTTCCCGTTTTTTTTTTTTCAATTGAAATTGATAATAATTTATCCAGATATTTGTAAAAAGACAGTTTGTAAAAAACCAGTCAAGCACGGAAATGTGGAACAACTGCAAGGAGGCTCTGAAATTAGCAGCCGAAAGCACATTGGGAATATCCCGAACCCAAGAAAGAAAGGACTGGTTCGACCAAGACTGCAAAAAAATAACAGATGAGAAGAACGAGGCATTTAGAACCATGCAACAACGAAAAACTAGAACAACAATAGATAGATACAAAAACTTAAGGAGAGAGGAAAAACGCATACACCGAAAAAAGAAACGAGACTCGGAAAATGACATGTTAGAACGGCTCGAAAGCCTTATGAGTCACGGAGAAACAAGAAAGTTCTACCATCAAATAAATAGTATTAGAAAAGAATTTAAACCAAGAATCAACTATTGTAATGATAAGGAAGGCAACTTACTTACCAACAAAGAGGACATCCTTTTACGATGGGTAGAGCACTTTCGAGATTTGCTGGAAGGGGAACCTACTAACAATATAGAGCTGGAATACCGAAATGAAGAACTCGTGGAACCCCCCTCAGTAGATGAAGTAAAAACATCTATAGAAAAACTAAGGAACCATAGGTCCCCAGGTAGCGATGGCATCCCAGCAGAGTTATTTAAGCACGGTGGAGAGCAGCTCACCAAGGTGATGCGAGAAATTGTTTGTAGAATTTGGTCTGAGGAGCAAATGCCAGAAGAATGGAGCTTAGGCTTAATTTGCCCGTTACGCAAAAAGGGAAACCAACTGGAATGCAATAATTACCGCGGAATAACTCTCCTAAATACAGCATACAAGATATTATCAAATATTTTGCACGAGAGATTAAAGCCTTATACTGAAATGTTTCTAGGGGAATATCAGGCAGGATTCAGGCCTGGACGTTCAACCATTAACCAGATCTTTACACTACGACAGATCCTCGAAAAAGCGCAAGAGTTTAACATAGATATGTATCATATTTTTGTCGATTTTAAAGCGGCATATGACAGTGTCTTAAGACCAAGTCTTTACAACGCTATGAATGAGTTAGGAATCCCAAAAAAACTCATACGTTTGATAAAAGTGACAATGGCGAAGATGCTATCAGCAGTAAAAATTCAAAACGACTCGTCAACCCCATTTCAAATACATAGGGGGTTAAGGCAGGGAGATGCGCTGACGTGTCAGCTTTTTAATGTCGCCTTAGAAAAAGTTGTACGAGACGCTAATTTAGATAGCAGGGGAACAATATTTAATAGATCAGTCCAAATTCTAGCATATGCAGACGACGTGGACATTATAACAAGAACTAGGGCGAGAACTGCGGAAATCCTAACCGAGCTAGTAGCAGCAGCAGAACGAATGGGGTTACATATAAATCAAAATAAAACCAAATTCATGGTGACTAACACAAACACAAGAGCTGGAAATGTTGACACAAATTTAATCATCAATGACCAAAACTTCGAAGCAGTCAATGAATTCATATATCTAGGGACATCGGTTAACCCCAATAATAATACATCTGAGGAAATAAAAAGGCGAATAATAATTGCAAACAGGTGTTATTATGGTCTATCAAAGTACTTAGCTAACAAACGTCTGTCTCAAAAAACTCATATAAGGCTGTATAGAACACTGATAGTCCCCGTTCTTACATACGGATCAGAGGCATGGACGCTAACGAAAACAGATGAATCCGCTCTATCCATGTTTGAAAGAAAGGTGCTACGCAATATATTTGGAGCGGTCTGTGAGAACGGAATATGGAGGCGTAGATATAACTTCGAACTGCAGAATATCTACAAGCATACGTTATGTGGTAAAGATATTACCACTATAATTAAGCGAAACCGCCTGCAGTGGGCAGGACATGTAGCCCGGGCCCCTGAATCGAACATGATAAAAAAGATTCTAACAGCGCAACCTGTGGGAATGAGACGACGGGGTAGACCAAAGCTGAGGTGGATGGATGGGGTAACACAAGATGCGGAGAAGATCGGATTCGGCAACTGGAAAATTCAAGCAAGGGACAGAACAGAATGGCGTAGAAAGCTTGAGAAGGTCGAGGCCCTCTAAGGGCTGTAGCACCAAGATGATGATGATGATGATTTGTAAAAAAGCAGTTTTTTTGCAATATTTTTGTAAAATAAATTTTATTAATTTTTTTATTAACAAAATAAAATATTAATAAATTTGAACATCGAAGAATTTCCGTCTTTTAAATTTGTGCCAAATTTCCCCGCGATCGGTCAAATAGTTTAAAAGTTATTTATTTACCCCTAAGGCTAATTATTTAAACTATTGAACTTGCCCTATGAATGATGCTATTATTATAGACACATTTAGAAAATTTCATAGGATTCTTTAAGACTTAAACTATCTCAGTTTAAGTTAAATGCATATTGCGTTTTCATCGAAATTATTCACAAAATAAACGTTTGAAAAAGAGGTATGTGTTTTACTTGTAAATCTCTCGGCTTCCATTTCCATTTTCAGCTTTTATTCTGGGGCAGCTCGTCGAAATGTGAATAACTACATAGTTTTCACTGGCCAGAAAATATGGGAAACACCATTTAGTATAAATACGTTTAGTTAAAACTTTTTTGTTACAAATACAAAAAATATTTTACTCAAAGAAGTATATTGCTTTTTAAATTTTGGAGCGTGGAGCTGAAACAGTTATCCTCTCCACTTTCCTATGTCGATCTTTCGAAAGTACCTTCGTTTCGAAGGGCTGTAAGTTTTGAAAAATTGGATAAATTTTATAGTTATAACTTTCAATACAGAGTTTATATTTTTATTCAAAATTTGTGCAAATTTTACTTCTTAATGTTTATAACCAATGGGGATATGATTTTTTTTTAAATAATCTCTAACTTCGTTTCTATTGGTCATAGGTTTTTTTTGTTAAATGTGAGTTTTTTTACCAGCTATCCAATGGTTGTTTTCAAACGTTTATTTTGTAAATAATTTGGATGAAAACGCAATATGCATTTAACTTCTGAGATAGTTTAAGTCTTAAAGAATCCTATGAAATTTGCTAAATGTGTTTAGCATCATTCATAGGACAAGTTCAGTAGTTTAAATAATTAGCCTGAGGGATAAATAAATTAAATAACTTTTAAACTATCGAGTACCTTTTCATCTATTCGTCATCTAGTAACCCCCACCTATATCTTAAAAGCTTCAGATATCTGCGAAAAATTTTGCCGTGAAATCGATGATTTTTTAATAACCAGACTTCAGCAGTCGCGCACGAGTATATTTGACGGCTATGGCAGGTTTGTCGAGTGTTAAAATGAAAATAATACCATTCAATTGTACAATTATTTAATTGAAGATTTTTTACATAAAAAATAACACGACCTGGATTTTGAATAATACACTTTATCACGATATGTATCAAATTTTCAAAGTTTAAATGCGATTTTTATTTATTTTTTATGTATGTTACTTTTGTAACATGTTTGTATCTTTGCCTGTAAAGTAGAGCTGCCTTCTGGAATTACATCATCTTCTAGATTTGTTTATTATCAACATCGTATCTATAAAACATAAATATACAAAAAAAAATACTAAAAATCAAATATATCAACAACGAAAATGAGCTTAGGTTAAAATTTATGATATTAGATGCCAAAGTAAAAAATGTTTACAGATTGAGTAACATCCGGTGTATTACAATGTATTCACTAGTAAGAAAGGGACATTTTATCTCTTTGAAAATGAACTTCTCCCACTGTTGAGTGACTACTGAGTTATGTAGAAATTATGGTCAAACAAATTGTGCGTGAGTACTTAATGGAAGGTTAAAAGACAAACTTACAAGTAGTTAGGATACCTAGATCTACTACAATATGGCACACTAGTGCTTTATAAGTGGCAGCACTAACGTTGGACATATAAACATCCACAAAACTAGCTTTAACTTTCACAGGATATAAATTGGAAGGTCATCTTCACTGTCTCTAGTATTGCTGCTTTATAGGTTCTTGGTTTTGTGTCTTGTGTTAGGTGTTTGTACTTCCAGATTGTGTCATTAAGAGAACCCGCCGCTTTACTTGCTTTTAAGCTTTGTTGTCGTACTTCTTCTTCTACATCTCCGTAACTAGTTATATCTATTCCCAGTTATCTAAACCTTGCTTCCTGCTTTATTATTTTCCCATCAATTTCGATTTTACACCGTAGTGGGTATTTAGATGTTGTCATGCATTTGGTTTTTTCTGCTGATATTATCATATTGTATTTCTTATCTGTTGCATTGAAGATATGTGTTAATCTTTGGAGCTCGTCTTCTGTCTCGGCGATTAATGCGGCGTATGTTATTGTATTCTTTCAATTGTGCCATTTCTTTCCGTTGGTTTCTTATGAATCTCCATATTTGTTTTTGTGTACCTTTTTGTAAACTGTTCCCAGTGTTCATGTTTTGTTCTTCTTACCAACTTCTTTGTTTCATTTCGTATTCTTCTATAGTTTCTCGGGATTCTGGGGTATTTGATGTTTTGTATTTCATGCAGGCCTCTTGTTTCTTTTTACATTTCTCTTTTATTTCTTTTTATTTCAGCTGTATATTCTGTGCTAGCCTCCTTTGGTACATTTATCTTGTAGGGTCGTTCCTCAGTGATTCTACATTGAATTTTTCCTCGGTGATTTCCTGTAGAAAATTTTGTTTTGGTGTTATTTTCATTCTTATCTTTGCTAGTATTAGTTTGTGTTCACTTCCTGCGCCTTCTCAGTTTAAAGTTCGGATATCTAGAATTTGCTTTGGGTTGATTTTTCTATTAGTGACTATAAAATCAATTACAGATTTATGCCCACTCGAATTTTCAAATGTATATTTATACTGGAGCTTATGGTCGAAAAATGTATTATTGATTCTCAGTTACTTAAATGCACAGAGATTAGCCATGAGTTCTCTATTTGCGTTGACATGGTTTTCATTAAATCTTTGTGTTACTCCTGGAACTATTTCATTTCCGATTCGTGCAGTAAAGTCACCCATAAGAATTAAGGGCCCTTCATAAGATATTTCATCCAGGATGGTTTGCAATTGTTCGTAGAATGCTTCTCGTTCCTCCTTAGGTTTGTAGTTCTCGGGGCTATAGATAGATATGACATTTAATTTTTGGTAGTCCATTGTGATTTTCATATGTATTGTGTAACGTTAAAATTTAGTTTCAATTATCATTTTGCTTATTATTATGATGAACTGATGAATATTAATTTAATCTAGACTTTTTCCATTTCAGGACTTAGTGGATCACAAGTAGATCTTGAACACAGGAGAGAAACATTTGGATCAAATTCAATTCCTCCAAAGCCTCCAAAAACCTTTTTACAATTAGTATGGGAAGCTTTACAGGATATTACCCTTATTATTCTAGAAGTAGCAGCCATAGTATCTTTATTGCTTTCTTTTTATCAGCCCCCGTTAGAAGATTCAGGTCAGTATATACATAATATTTTCAAGCATTTAGTTATGACACTAACTGCCATATAATCATTTGGCATTGTCAAGAAATATATAGAACAGTGTATGAAATATTTTGATATATAAGTGCAACTATAATGGTGACAACTATTATTAAAATTCCACATCACTTCTAGCTTTAGAATACAATTATGTAGGGCATCCACTAAATAATTTACATAATTATAGGAAATTATTCTTCTGTAGTCGTGTTTATTTGTAGAAAAGTTTTTAAATTCATCATTTTATGTGAATCATACTTTTATGTAAAAATTTTGTGATTTAAAATCAATTTTTAACTAGTCAAAAATTGTATGGTCTCTATTGTTACTACTTTTCGGACTCGACAGTATCAGCAGAGCAATATTTTTTTTATTTTACAATAAATTTGAGCAGGGGTCGCAAAACCTATATGCCCATGTGATTACAATGTTATATAGTGTGCAATTAAATGGTTACATTACAATAGTTACATATTAAGCACTAACTAATTAAATAAATATACAAAAACATAGGTAATAGCAAATGTTAAGTACGAGTTAAATGTTCAACTATGGAGCAAATGGTCATCCAGTTTATTTTTGAAAATATTGACAGATGGAGCATCTATGATCTCAGCCGGAAGGCTATTTCATATCGAGGACACTCGATTACAGAGAAAAAATTGTCTAGTTGTTGTTAAAAAAGTTTCCTTTTTTAAACTTAAGTTTATGACCCCAAAGACGATTGTCGTTGTCTAGTATAAACATATCCCCCACATTTCCAAAGTTGTATTTACTATCCGAAACGTAATAATTAAATCGCCTCGAAGTCGACGTTGTTCAAACGTAATGAGATTGGCCATATTCAGTAGGTCTTGAGCTACCAAAAGACATCCTAGTGCACTGCCACTGTACGTTTTCGAGAATATTACGATCGCACACTAATACCGGACACCAAACAGTTCCGCAATATTCCAGAACTGGACGAATGTACAGTTTATACAGATGAACTGAGCTCATAGATGAGACTTTCACAAACGTTTTATTTAGTAGATATACTTTACCGTTAGCTTTTTTATAAATATGCAAAATATGTTCCGACCAACTTAGATTGTTATTAATTATAACACCTAGATAATTATGTGATTTCACTGTTTTTAACACGCGCCCATTAATAGAGTAAGGAAGACACCGATTATTTTTACCCATGTGAAGAACTACACATTTGTCCACATTAAGAGGCAGCATCCAAGTAGAGCACCATTCCGATATGCAATCAAGGTCATCTTGTAGTAACTGGAAATTTACGGAGGGATCGGAAAATGGCTTCGTGTCATCTGCATAGAAAGCTTTGTTGCATTTAATGTGAAATTGTAGATCACTTGAGTATGCTATGAATAAAATTGGGACCAAAACTGATCCTTGCGGTATCCCACTTAAAACTGTTCTCTCAACTGAGAAAAAGTCCCCAACTCTAACACAAAATTTTCTATCTGTTAAATGCTGATCTGATCAATTTTAATAATTGACCACGGATACCAAGGTGTTCCAATCTATGTAATAGTCTTCGCTTTTTAGCAAAATTGAGATAAATAATGTCTACCGGAGATTTCCTGTCTAATGCTTTTGACCATTCATTGATACACTAGAGAAGATTTGTCATTGTAGAACGTCGTTTAACAAAACCATGCTGCTGTTCTGGTATAACCAGTTCATTTTTCAGAAAATCAGAAATTGTCTCGGCAATAATAGATTACATTATCCTAGATATTATAGCTGATAGGACGTTAGTTATTAGGATCCAATTTGTTCTCTTTTTTTAAAATCGGTATTACAGATGCGGTTTTTCCTATAGGAGGCAAAGTATATGTGATGAATAATGACATAATCACATATAGTGGGTAAGCTAAAGCATCAGAACATTTCCTTAAAAATAGAGAAGATATTAAGTCGAGACCAGGAGACGAATTATTTTTTAGGCTTTGAAGATGATGTTTAACTTTTTCAGGAGTAATGGTCAGAGTTCAGGTCGACATGGTGGGAGCAGCACAGCAGCAGTGGGAGTGAATCGCCGTAAATAGATATAAACAAAATAAAAAGGCTGACCTTGCAATCTGTAAATAATTAAAAAATACAGGGTCTTTGATGCATTTTCTAATGAAATAAAAACACCACTGGCAATAGAAAACTCTTCTGTTTAAGCGGATATAAAAATGATGGTTAAACTCCAATAACCTACTGTAATTTGCAATAATTTACTGGGAAATGTAAATGCTGCCACACACACTACGATCTTATTACCTCTCCCCCCTTATTTACATTGGAATATAATATAAAAAAGACGTTTACTATAAAAAATACGTTATTTCATAAAATCATAAAACAATTGTATAGTAGTTTGGCAAGTGTTTTGGAAGTATATTTTTAGATAGTGAAGGTTTGTTTCTAAAAAATTTTTGCGCTTGCCAAATACATAAAATAATGTTGAAATGACATTTAACACTTATTGTAAGGAAAATTTAACAGGAATGCATATTTTGTCACTTACAAAAGTTTCCTTTTAAGTTTTTACAAGAATTTAAAAGGAAACGAACAAGTTCGAAACAAAGTGTTTTATTGATTTTCGAAATATTCGCCTTTAAGGTCTATACATGGTTTTAAAAGACTTCAACTGTGTTTTAAGGTGATGAAAATTTCTGTTCACGCATCAATTATTTGACAGTGGAAAACGAGGAAAAGTCATTAGTTAGTAAATTCGATGTTTTTCTTCAAATATTGTGATGATTTTCTTCAAATATCTCAGTGATGAAGAATGATAAGACGTTTTTTTTGTTGGTGATTAAATGAATGGTCGTTGTGTGTCTAGTACAAGTGCTCCGTGAACGAACGACTTCGATTGGAACTTTATTTCTCCCGATCCGACATCGGATTGAAAAGCAAACTCAAAGTATTAATGCATACTGCCTATACTGCAGTGGGAACCCCGATTAGATAACGACCGATATCATACTAAGTAGCTTCTCCTATCAAACTTGTTTGGTTTCATTCCGACGAGAGCCAAATGGCAGAAATGGACAGAGAAATTTTGATTGATCGGGTTGAGAAAAAAATACGGTTCCAATATAGGTGTACCCTATAAGTTTTTCTTCGGGGCTGATGTATTCTCTGAAGTTAGATTGGATTGTTAGATTTCTATACTCATGCGGTGGTACTCTTGAATTTATCAGGATAGTTACATAAAGTTTGGAAAGTTTTCATTATACTTATGTGTCACCTCGGGGTAAATGGTAAGGGTCTAAATCACCTTCTGTACCACCGTGTGCTCTGTAGAGGGCTTCGGAAACGTCGACGAAAGCCCCTCTACTTGAATCCATTTGCGGGGTATGGATTCGTAAAAGGTTTTCTTCTGATGGGCTCGTCTTGAAAAAGACGAGCTATTTCTTACATGACTTATAAGTCGAAATAAACATCAGGATGCAGTCTATGGTGGCTTGCCTTGACGGCAAGATATTTCTTACACGACTAAATAGTCGAAATAAAACACCAAGTTTAAAGTTGAATACAAATACTCAGCCACAGAGTATAGGGTAGGCTAAAAGAAAAAGCAGAGCCCCGAGAGCACTAAGCTCTCGGAGAGCCGTGAAGGACTGACTTGATTGACCTGAAAATCGCCTATTTTTATACTTTCTGAAGTAGCGATTAGGGATTTCCAGGTCAGGGAGGGGCCAACGGGAAAAATAAGGGGCGGGGTGATGCGTCTCGAACGCTTTCCTTTATTTATAAAAATCAAAACAAATATACTTAACCACAAATGTGGGTATTGATATTTTGATAATCGGGTAAGATCCCCTTGTGCATTCGGTTACTTTCTCTAGATAGGAACGTAACGTACCAGCCCGTTACCTTAGGTAATACGTATCTAGATACGTTAGTTCAGCCATTAATGCGCATGCTTATATGTCAAAAATATACGTTACGTATACGTATTTGCTTGCACAAAAACTCTAATGCTTCGCTTGTAAGCAGAAACTGACGCTGCGCTGCGTTGTACTACGGAGGCAATATTTATATTTGCCACTCGCCTCCCCTCCACTGGTTTCCGCTTGAAGGGGCGTGTCGTTGTTTGTAGTAGCTTTCCTTTCTTCAAAATTATAATTGTCAGAATGATTTCCAATCTCCGACTGGAGTGGAACTTGAAGAAGAAGAAGCTAGTTCTACATTGTACGCCAAAAAGTAAAAAAACTCTAATCTGGTGACGATAAAAAAATATACACCAAATTACTTTGAAAAATACATTGCCGAGCTTCGTACAAAGATATGTTTATCAAATTGAATACCGGGTAGTGAATCGACAAACGGGCCATAGGAATCTCAATGGGAAATTCTAAATTGTTAAATTCCTACTTCCCTATTTATTTTACATTAAAAGTCATAAGAAACTATTTGTAGAGGACTGAAATATGCATTAAAAACAAATGTTAAAAGTGATTTCAGGCCACCCGTAAGTCAGACCACACGTAGTGCAAGAATGTGTATGACGTGTTGTGTGTGATCACATGGATGTAAGATGTTTGACAATATTTGAATTGTCAATATTTTTATTGTATGATTAAATTATAAACAATAAATTTTACTAAATACTAGATACTATTACTACTTAACAATAAATTATATTGTTTACAAAGTAATAAAGTTAATAAAATGTACTCAGTTGACAAAAAATCGTAAAACTGTTGTAATCAGGTAATAGTACGAGCACTGCCAGATCTTTATTTAACGTAAGATATTCTATTACTCCAATTCAATTCCAGGTTAAACAACAATTCAAACAATTTCAATATAGTTTTACTGTGATCCGTATTTCTAAAAATAATTTATGATAATTTCTTACCATAAAACTATATATAACAAATGTTCAATCAATTCTTGATTGTAAAATTCTCGTCTAACAATATCCAGGACCCGTGTGTTATTTTTGCACACTCTTCAATAATTCGCATTTTTAATGCTTCAATATCTGTAAATTTTTCGTCAGAATAGATTTTTGATTTTAGATGCCCCCAGATAAAATAATCAATTGAAGTTAGATCTCCCGATCTCGGAGGCCACTTAATGTTACAGTCCAATCAAACAATTATTAAAGCTTCTTCTTCTTCTTCTGTTTATATAGACATGACTCTGTCTGTTTTTCAATGTACCTCCAGTAAGTTGTCATTCCATCGTTTTCGTGGTTTTCCTACTGATCTTCTTCCTATTGACATTTCATTCTTCGAGGGAAAATGGCAATTTAAAACGCCGCGCTTGCCATGCGTGTTGGCGAGTTTAGGAGAGAAGAAAGGATAGTGTGAATAAAATAGTGACCCGTCTTCCTTCGGAAACCTAATCGCCATTCGGGGTCGGAAGAAACAAGAGTTAGCCAAGAGAGGCTGATAGGATAGATCAAAGGACATTTCACCCAAGACCAGTTGAAAAAGAGTGAAATGTGAAGGCCCTCACGACTCGCCAGGTATGATTCATGAGCGTATGAGCATTTATACTTATCGTGTTCCCGCTCATACATCGGAGTAGTGACTACAGACTGTATGGCTCGTCCAGCATGCCATAGCATGGAGAACTGAGAGCACGACATAAATTCATGGCCTTGACCGGTTAGGTTCGATAGTGGAACAAATTTTTAGAAGCATTGTAAAAAAAATGAAAATGATTTTCTTCAGGCTCTTCCCCAAATCCCACTATCTCATCCCGTGACTGAAGAGAAAAAAAAGATGTCCTTCATTTATTGCAAACCCACTTTGGACAAAATTGGAAAGAGATCCCTGATCTTCATTGGTATATTAATGCTCTTTAACACAAAGTTACTAGTGATCCAGATCCAGAAACCCACAACTACCATGATGGCGAGCGTGATTGCTTGGAGGATGAGCCAAAAAATGTTCACATCTAAATTTTTTGTACTCCTCATTTTTTTTGTTTTAGTAGGTACCGTTTAATATTTTTTATTTCTAAGATATTGTTAGTTTGACAAAAGTTAGTATCTCCCATCTTTTTTTATCCAAAAGCGATATCTCCAACAGACACATGGCTATATTTTGCTAATTCAAATCAATAAAAATAATGTTAATTAACGTTTTATTTCTCTAAATCTAACCTCAATTGATTACGTTCTCTGAAATTTCGAAAATTTTAGTACAAGAGCTGCAGAACGTTTTTACGTCTCCTGAAAATTTTTGAAAATTGGATTTATTCAGTTTTGTAAAAAAGCTCCTCATTTATTTTCCCTATATTCGTAAAATGCAAGAAATTATATACCTATATACATAAATCTGTACCGGGGTGACATACCCACGGAATAATGAAATATTTAATCCCACTAATTTTAATCGAAAAATATGAATGAAACTTTTTGCGACTGGCAAAAATTTATAAAATAGTTGCAAAGGTATCTACATCACTGTTCTATATAAACAAGACAAATAAATTAAATAATTAAAAAATTTTTATGTATAGAAAAATGTAAAAACTACAATTATACTAACATATTCTTATTTTTTCAGCATTTAACGATGATGAAACAAGTCATGGGTGGATAGAAGGTTTAGCAATTCTAATTTCAGTTATAGTAGTAGTATTTGTAACAGCCTTTAACGATTATACTAAAGAAAGACAATTCCGAGGGTTACAAAGTCGAATAGAAGGAGAACACAAATTTTCAGTAATTAGACAAGGAGAAGTCAAACAAATCTCTGTCAGTGATATAGTTGTAGGTGATATTTGCCAAATTAAATATGGAGATCTTTTACCAGCAGACGGAATTCTTTTACAATCAAATGATTTGAAAGTAAGTACTTTTAATTATATCTTTTAACACGCATTACAAATATGTGACTAACTTTTGTAATTACGATATAATCGCCTACCGATTCTTAGCTGCTTCAGCTATAACTCATTCTAATAGCTAGTTTAGTAGTGTAGTGTAGTAGAGGGTGCACGACTTTATCTTTTTATGCTTTTTTTGTACTAAATTACATCTTTCAGTCGCTTTTACAATGATCAACATTACAATGATAAGATCATGTCGAATAATGTGTATTAAGTCCAGAATGCTGAAAAAATTATTACAATCGATGACTGATAAAGTTGGGAGTTTTCAAGAACTGGCTTTCCAATTCCTTGGCTTTCTTATTTTTGGTTAAACCTAAAACGGGTCTTATACTCTACGTGTAAGTTATCTCTACGTGTAAGTTAACCTTTAAGCCCTAGGGGTTCAGTAACGCATAAATTCATTCTTAGTGAAGCAAAGTGCAGCAAATGCATGCAGGCCAGTGTACTCGGACCGTATCAACCTACTATAATTTTCCTTTGTGATTTCACTATGATAATATTGGGCTTTTTACCTTTCAGATAGACGAATCATCGCTGACAGGTGAATCTGATCATGTCAAAAAGGGAGAGTCTTTCGACCCGATGGTATTATCAGGTACTCATGTTATGGAAGGATCTGGTAAGATGTTGGTTACAGCCGTCGGTGTCAACTCGCAGGCAGGTATCATCTTCACACTTTTGGGAGCAGCTGTGGACCAACAAGAAGCTGAAATCAAGAAAATGAAGAAGGGTAAGTTATTTGTCATATCGCCAGCATGTATATTTGGGTTCATATTTCCCCTCATCCTCTTAATTGTTTCTGAGGAGATTCTTGAGCTGCAAACCACGTGATCTTAGGCTGTCCAGGAGTTACTTAAACTCCTACACACAATGATTGTGGGTGGTACATGAAAAGACATCAAAAAAAGCAAACAATGAATGGTTTTGGCAATTACTCGAGAAAGCTTGGGAAATAAAATAAAAAAAATTACCTTCGGGGAAGAACAAACATGTAATATTTATATATTTATATTAAGAAGACCGAAATACACATGAAAACCGAAGAAGAAGGAGAGCATAACTTTAAATATAACAGTCATGGATGGATTAAGTAATTAATAATAAAAATATATTATCTAACACAATAAATGCGGTGGAATTAATTCGAGATATATAAAAGACAATGGAAAGGACAAACATTAACACTATCCAACATTTACACCAACGACCAACATAAAAACCAACAAACATGACAGTTTATTTACGCGGATGATACAGCTGTGGCAGCTCAGGGAAGTACCTTCAATGAAGTCGAAGTAAAACTGACAGATGTCCTAGAAGACTTAGCACTATACTATGAGGAAAACCATCTAAAACTCAATCCTATAAAAACCCAGATGTGTGCTTCCTACCTTAAAAACAAGCATGCCCGAAGGACACTGGAGATGGAATGCCGTAGTCAGATGCTGAAACACAATGAGACGCCAAAATACCTCGGCGTACGTCTGGATAGAACTTTGTCCTATCGATATCACTGTCAAGATATCAAGAAAAAAATAAGCGCCAGAAATAATATCATCCGCAAACTTACAAACCCAAAATGGCGTAACCACACTCTTCGTACTTCTGCCTTAGCATTATGTTTTTCTACCGCCGAGTTTGGAACACCAGTGTGGGAAAACTCTGCTCTCGCTAAAAACGTCGATGTTGCGTTAAATTTAACGGTTCGTATAATATCTGGTTGCCTGAAACCGACACCTATCGAAGAGGTTTACCCGATAGTTTGAATCGCTCCACCTGCTATCAGAAGACAGGTCACGTCAGAGATAGAACGAAAGAAGCAGAAGACGTATCGTAGATACTCCTTGTATGACCACCAAGTTCAGCCAATTAGATTAAGATCTCGGAAAAGCTTTCTGAAAAAATCACAAAATTTAAAGCTGTTGGTGTTCCGGACACGGAAAGTAAGTAAGTTCCTGGACATCCTAGTTAAGATTGTATTAAGTTGCTATACTCAAATATATGAAGCTCAATAATATCCTCAAGTATTTATAATTAAATAGACTATGCTTATATACTTGCATAAAGATCTTTAGATGTATTATCATTGTTAGTTGCACATCCCCTTGAGTGTACCTATGTAACAATTTTTATCCTTTTGCCGATATACATTTACATTGTTACACAACATACTCACACAATTAGACATTTTCACCAGCATTTGTTATTTTGAAATGTCATAGTTTTGCCTAACAATAAATAATTTACAGTTTGAACTACAAAATAGAAATTGGGATTGTGCATTCATTAAAAATCTCTCACTGTTTGATCTTTTCACTGAATTCTAACTACATAAACACATATCTAAGACATCATCTTCTACATGGTTTTCTTAAATACACATAGTAAGGAACTCTTCGTCTAATAATGTACTAAATGTATTTGAGAAATCGAGTCTTAAAAATTTATATTTATTCGGAAACTTGAATATCAAAAACGTTGAAACCACTCTAACGCATAAAGATTCGACTTAAACCATATATTTACAAATATTCTTGCATCTAACGTTAACCAAAAAAACTATTCTAAATCTTAAAAAAAAAAGCAATTAAGTCGGTCCACATGTTACTCACAAGACTTACTTTAATATCCATATAGAGAAAAAGTTAACCTGTGTAAACATGTGTGTACTAAAAGAAAACAGCTTGGACTTAAACTGCAACAACTACATAAAGTCATTGATAAAAAATCGAAACTTACAATCGACTTGCCTGCAAATATGTATTAGAACCTTTGTGAACATAATGTTATATAGTTGTAGGGCTCCAACAGTAATTCAAATTTAGAAATTCTTAAATGGTTAATTTAAATTTGGAGATCAGACTAAGTACCATTCGCTGTTATATATTTTCAATATTATTAAATGGAGCTGAGACTTGGACATTAAAAAAATGCAATTTAAAAAGAATCGAGGCTTTCGAACTCTGGTTATACCGCAGAGTATTAAAAATAATATGGACTGATAGAATTACAAATAAAGAAGTACTGGGAGAGGGTTGGTAAAGAAATACTTTTTTTAACAGCAACATAATATTGTTTTTTCTTACTATTAATTATTGTAAACTAGGAAAATAATACTCAAAATGAATAGTCATTGTTTTATACTGTAGAAAAAACAGAAATTAAACCGGGTTATCTAGGATTATCTATACAGTATAATACTACAATACTCCAATTGGCTGTAGTACGACCGATTTATAATAGACAGGCTTTCAGAAAAAAGAAGTGTCAGCTATGACATTTAAGGAAACCCTGTTGAGATATGTCATTAATGTACAGACTTTAAATCCCTATTTTTTTCATCCTTTAGGTTATTTTGTATCCGATATGTCTGATTCCTCTCTATATATCGTAAATGTTGTGATTGGTACACAATAATTTAATGTCATAAATTTAAAATTTAAATAAACCCAACTCTGACAAAATTAATTTATTTATATGAAAACACTAACACATACAGATTGATATGATATTTAGTAAGAATAATTAACTTAAAGAAAACTGAGATTGTGATAATATAAGGTTGCTTTTAATATCTTGGTATGTTTTCTCATGTATTTGCGACTTCGCAGGATTATAATTTCAAAACATTTTATACTTTCCCTTATAGTTTTTGCTTTTTTTAGGTGGATCAGTCCCTTTTGTTTATGTTATCTTCTTGACAATATCTTTTCATTTTTTTCTGTCTCTAGTTTTTCCTCTCTTGGTCTTCCCCTTTTCTTTCTTTCTCCTGGATTCCATTCTAACATTGCGTATGTCACTGCTTCATCTCCTGCTCGTCAAATGTGACCTAACATCTAACTCTGCATTGCTTTATTTTAATCACGATGTTTTCCTTAAGTTCTTCCTTAATCTCTGCATTTGATCTGCTTATATATTCATTTTGCTCTGTTGTGATTGATCCTAATATGGTTCTCATAATCTTTCTCTCTGCTATTCTTAAGTCTTCTTTATCTTTTTTGACCATCGTCACTGTTTCTCCTGCATATAATAATATTGGCGTAATTATGGTGTTATAAATGTTCATCTTAGTTTTCTTAATCAGTGTTTTGCTTTTAAGTAATCTTTTGTTTGCAAAATAACCTTTATTCGCTGATAATATTTTTTCTTTTATTTCGGACTTCCTTTCTCTGGATTTGCTTATGGTAACTCCTAGCTATTTTAAGTATTCTACTTCTTCAAACTCAGAACTTTCTATTTTGATTTTTTCTTTCATTGGCTTTTTCCCTAATCTTAATATTTTTGTCTTTTCTTGATTTAATCTTAGTCCGATTATCTCCCCTTTCTCTCTTATTTCTTCTAGCATTTCTTTCATTATTTTCCTGTTATTTGCAATAATAGCAATATCTTGTACGTATGCAATTATTTATTAGTTCCATATTTATTTCATCTTTACCAGAGGATTTTCCATTTTGGCTTCTCTGTATTACTTCATCCAATTCCTCTAATGTTGGTTCTTTTGAAATTTCGATTTCTACTTCATCTACTTCGTCTGCTTTGTCTTTGTGTACCGTTTCCTCCTCGTTATGCATTTCTTCTCCTATTGTCCTCTCCATCAAGAGCTCTCTGTAGTAATCCCTCCATACTTGCTTGTATTCTTGATCCTCTATTATCACTGTTCCCTCTTTATTTTTTATTCCGTTTGTTTTGCCTTTGTATTTTTTGTTTTGTTCTTTCCTGCTCTATTTCTTGCATTTTTTCGTCTACCCATCTTCTTTTATTTTGTCATCACTTTGTTGGCATTCCTTCTTAATTTTTCATATTCTTTGTCTTTCTCTTTATCTGTTCTTAGCCATTTATTTCTGGTTTGCATTTTTTTTCTGTTAGTTCTCTACATTCTTGGTTATACCATCCGTTTTTTGTTTTAGCCTGACTTTTACCTACCTACATATTTGCTCCTTCTTCTATTGATTTTTTGTTCGTCTCCCATTCTGTGTTTATATTTTCTGCTTTATATTTCTCTTTTTTTTGAACTGATACTGCCTCTTCATATATTTTTCTTACTTCTTCATTGCTCATTTTATTGACATTCCACTTTTTATGTTTGTTTTTCGGTTTTGTTTCAATTTTAACTTTTTGTCTTATAGTGGCTGTGACCATGTAGTGGTCTGAATCTGCACACGCACTTCTAAATGTTCTTACATTTTTATTGACGATTGTTTTCGTTTATTAATCAGTATGTGATCAATTTGACTTGATATGTTTTCTGATCTGGTGACCTCCATGTTACCTTATGTATTTTAGGGTGTTCAAATTTTGTTGAGCTTATTAACAAATTTGTTCTTGTTGCTAGGTTCCATAGTATTTGCCCATTGTCATTCGTCTTTTCGTGTATTGTATGCTTTCCTGCAATTTGTTGTAAAAAGTCCTCTTTTCCAACCTGTCCATTGAGGTCTCGTAGTACAAATATGACATAATTGGGTATTTTTTCTATCTCATCTTCGACCCTATCGTAAAAGATTTCATTTTCGTCTGCATTGCTTGTCTGTGTAAAAAATATTTTAAAATAATAAATCGAGACTCTTATTGTGAATTAGTGACTGAATTAGTGATCATTCTAAAACTAGCTAAAAATAACAAAAGAATCCATACGACACTATTTTAAAAAAATATTTCATTGTTCCCAGACACTCGCCAGTCGTAAACGTTTGTTTCGTTTATTACTCTATAAAATATGTGTGTGGTATTTTT